GAAGTCAGAACCATAAAAGTGAATTTAATAAGTGGAAGCAAATGTCACAATATATTATGGAGACATACTTATGAAGAAACCCAAAATTTATTAGAGCATTCTTTTGTAATGTCACAGTGCATTATTATAAATTGGAATTTTGCCATCATAAAGGTGTGAGGAATATGTTTAAGAAAAGGGTGCTATTAGCAGAATTAAATGGTAAATGTAGGACAGTCATTCTCAGGGTGGGAGAGCATGTGTAACTTAAAAACATGTATTGAATATGACTATTCTGTTTTTTAATACAACTCAAGAAAATTAAGCTTGATAAAATCTGTTCAGTTGGTGGAAGAGTTGTTCTACAGTGAGAAGGTACTTGATAGAATGAGATAAAATCTGATACGTAGCAATATAGACCCTAGTTGTCTGTGTGTGTGTGTGTGTGTGTGTGTGTGAGAGGGAGAGAGAATGTGTATGATGGAGGTGAACAGATACAGACTACATACATTCCAATCATTTTGGTAGATTTTCCAAACTATAGTATAGGCCAATATAGTATAGTATAGGCCACTCTGGCTGAAAATCACCAATATAAAATATTAAGGGTAATTGAAGAGATTTTGGGACTATGTATAGAGGTGGCGTATTCTAACATAGATCATCTGGAAAATTTTCCTTCCCCTAAAATTTTTTGCACAAAAACATCAAGTTAAATGAATGTTGAAAAGTATTAAAGGAAAAAAGATGGCTTTGTCAGTAAGTTGTTTTGAAGTTCTCCATAACTGGTTCTGTTTTTATGAACCAACATAGAGCTGAAGGAAGAAAACATTTTTTAAATCAGACTTCGATGAAAATGAAAGTCCTAGGTTCTCATTTGGACAACTCCAAAACAATTTTGGATCTTGACTTTGGAGCCCTACCTGGGCCTACCTCGAGAGGAATGAAAATGGAAGGGACTCAGATCTCTTTGGCCACTATTTATTAATGAGTTAATTTACTAGTACAGCTGAGCCACAGATGAGCACAGATGACATTAGCCAATTGACCTGGGGCTCACTTCCAGAGTGAATATGGACCCTGGACCCCATGTGAATTCTGCTTGCTTTTTTTCCTAGCACCTTAACCTCAGTGCCTTACACAGCCAGTCCTGTCTTACCCAGTTACCGAATCCTTTCATGACTGTCCAGATGCTCTCTGCCTTTTTTTATTTTTAATGCATTTTCACTGCCCATGGCACGTTCATTGGAGCTTGGAGGTTAAGAAATAAGAAATAGCTTACTATGTGATCTCACCTATAAGTGGAACCTAATAAACAAAACAAGCAAGCAAGCAAAATAGAACGAGAGACATTGAAATAAAGAACAAACCGACAGTAACCAGAGGGAAGGGAGGAGAGGAATAATGGGGGGAAATAGGGGAAGGACCATCAAGGAACATGTATAAAGGATTCATGGACAAAGCCAAAGGGGGTAGGTTTGAGGGTGGAGGCAGGGATGGGTGGGGTGGGGAGGGGGAGCAGTGGGAGGAGAATAGGGACAACTATACTTGAACAGCAATAAAAAAATTACAAAAAAACATTCTGCTCAGCCCATTTATTTCTTCTGAATAAGGTAGGTTTAACAAAAAAGTTGTTGGGGTGGGATAAAAACATTGGATTAAAAAGATTTGAATTTTGAAGAATCCAGTTTATTTTTAGTACCATGACTCTGGGAATACAGAGAATTAACTTGTTACCATTAACTATATCGAGATTCGGCTTTGTTTTTACATTATATAAAATAGAATTTTGTAATAATATCAGTAAGTTCCAAGGAACTTCGGGGAAAACACTGAACTATTTTTAAAGTAGACACAAGAAACTACTTACGTAGTTTTTAAAATTGTGACTTGTAGTTATTGTAAGATAATACATGCATGTGGTAAAAAAATAAACAGTAAAAGGTTACCCAGTAAAAATCAAATCTTCTAGATTTGCTCCATCATCTTCAAGTTTCCCTCTAAAAAAGACATGTACAACAGTTTTTGAAGCTGAGGTCAATGAGCAGGTGGTGAATTAATCCTTTTGCAACTCAATCTTTGCCTTTAAGGACTTAAAACAACATGCTGGGCTGTAAACCCTCTGTACTGTTGGAAAGAACCACTCAGCACTGGTTTCCTAAGAGTCATCATTGGTGTTGCTTACATGTAAATTGGATAGGATCCAAGGCTTATAAATGATTGCACAATAAAAATGAGAATGCCCTGTTGTGGATCACTGAATATGTACCACTCAGGTTACAATTTAACCATGCTAAGGAAACCAAACCATGGATACAAATGGTAATAAGTGAAACATTCACCAGAGTTTTGAAACAATTTCATTTTAATTTATAGTTTATGGAATAGCGCTCCTCCCTCAATGTCAAGAATTTGAATAACTTTAAAATAATTTGTTATCTCTGATAGAGTAGTAATTTCCAAAGAGATAGATGCATTTAGATAAATTCATTTTCTATTTTTATAAACCTAATTGTAAATATCTACTATCTGACTTTTTTTCACACAAATTTCTTTTCATGGTCAATACCCACTTGTCTTTGATATATAAATACTACATTTCTAAAATTATGGTGAATGAAATCTCCCTTTACAGTTAATTGCATTAAGCTGCTATCTTAAAGAGAATGGAGAATAGATACTTTATGCAAACAGTTATTTGTAGTCTAGACTATTTTTTACTTGTGTTTCTGTAGCTCAGAGCCTAATATTTCATTAGTGTAATCTGACTTATTTTCTTCCAATTCATTTATCTTAACACTGTCTATATTGAATTTAGCTGTCATATTTCTCATTGTTTAGAGCCATTGATTTTAATTGCACTTTACAATCAACACAACACTCATTTCTTTATTTGGCAAACATTGAATATCTACTATAGTTCAAAGTTGAGTAAGACATAGTGCTGTTTCTAGCAGCCTCACAATGTTTGACTTGAGAGGTCGACCAACCTGGAAAAGAGAAACACACTTGAACAAATCAATTTTATGAAATGTTAATACAGAAGATATGTTCACAATTAGATACCACCTTGGTTATAAAACATAATAATAATGTTGGAAGAACAAGTTGTATTCTTGTTTAGAGAAACAGTCTCCTGCTATCCTCAGGTAATTGGACAGAGCTCAGAAATATTCCATTGTATTCGGAAGAGAAGTATTTGATTATTCATGATTTTAATTTTTGTTTCACAAACCCCGAAAAAATTGGTCCTTTTCCCAAAGGTTTTTCTGTCTGGTGACTACTACCTCAGCAAGTGAAAGATTAGTCACCTGGCGGGTGCTGGAGTTGATTATGAAGAATATTGCCAAACTAAGTGTCCTTAGCATTCCCATTCAGAAATAAATCATAGGAAAAGTCCAAAGGTTGCTCTTTAATGTTGTGGTGTGCTTCTGTAGCATATATCTTTTACCTCCTAACTCTTAAGGCAATTTTACATTGAAAAGCAAAAATCATGTGGTTCATTTTTACCTAATCACTACAATATTATTATTAATATTACCACCACCATAGGCAAGAGAAGGAGCATCTCACATTTTTTAACCGAAGCCTATCGAACTTCTCCCCAGATCCATTCCCATGTAGTTGTTCCTTTTATCAATAAAGTTTAATTCTGCCTACCCAGTTGATCATGCCAGAAACCTAGTTGTCATGCTTGAAAATTCTATCTCCCTGTGAAGGGTACTTCACGTCCAATAAATAACCTTTCCACCCTCAAAATATTTGTTGAACTTCTCTACTCTATTGCCACCGTCCTCACCTAAGCCAATGCCGTGTCTCTGGACAACTGTGAAAACTTTCTCACTGGTCACTCCATGTCCACACTTGCTGCTTCTCCAATCCAGTCCTCAGTAGCTATGAGAATGATGGTTTAAAGGGAAATCACATAATGTCATTTGTTACAGCACTCCAAACAGACTGCTGTAACAAAATACCACAGAGTGGGTGCTTACTGCGCACAGTTCTAGAGGCTGGGAAGTCCAGTACCCAGGTGCCCGCAGATTCAACTTCTGGTGAGAACCTTCTTCTTGGCTCACAGCCAGTGTCTTCTCACTGTGTCCTCACATGGCTAAAGAGTTGGGGATCTCTCTGGAGCCTCTTTTATAACACTGACTCCATTCATAAGGGGTCGGCACTTACGACCTAATCATCTCTCCAAAGCCCTACGTTCTAATACCATCATCTCTGGGGGTTAGGATTCAATATTAGAATTTTGAAGGGCCGAGGGGACACACACATTCAGATTTCTCTGCTTAGGACTTTCAGTGGCTTCTCATTGCTCACCCTTAGCATGTTCTACCAGGTCCTACCTGATTGCCACTGTCATTTTGAGCTCTTGGTCACCGTGTCCCAGCAATACTGGCCTCCCTTCTCTGTTACACCTCAAACTCCTTCCCGTCTCAGGGCCTTCTTCCGTGTTTTCTCCGCGGCCCTGTCCTTTCTCCACATGATGGGAGCACCCATCCTTCAGGTCTTAGCTTGAATGTCACTTTTCCTTTAATCCTGATTCTGCAGGCTAGATTGGACTCTTCTGTTATATTTTTCTCAAAGGGCTCTATTCTTGTCCTTTATAACCGTCACTAGTAGTACTTATATAGTTATTTGTGTAATTATTTATTCACTGTCCATCTTTCTCACTATTACAATCTCCACGAGAGCAGAGACCACATCTGTTTTTATTCACATTGTATTCCGAGCACCTAGAGCATTTCCTAGCACAGTAGCTGCTATATAAATATTTGTTAAAGACAACTGACAGCAGATAGTCATTAAAACAGAGCATAATTAAGCTTTTGTTTATGGGAGTTTTTCTATTAAAGCATATCTTTTATCAACTCAATCTGTAAGAAATGAATCAATTAGTTATCTTTTCTGAGCTTTGATAACCATATACTATAGGCCTAGTCAGTTTTGTGCACATTAAATACCCCTGAGTTGTTGAGTTGAATACAAACGCTTTTTTATCTTTCTCTTTTTTAAAGCAATCACAGAATCTATCCTGTCTGGCCTCTCACTGGGAGGTTTTTTGCATCTCTGAGAAGAGGACCACCACCATGCACTTCTTTTCTGCTGTGGGGCTCGCCTGCATGTTTTCCTCTGCTGCCGCTGACCTCCCTGGGCAGCACTATCTGACGGGCCTGAAGGGAGCCACCTTGTCTTGCCCTTGGACTCCACCAAGACGTCCAGTTATTGCTTCCATGTCTTCTTGGTTCTTTGGTGTAAGTCCACATGCTGTTTGCGAATGATGTTGGTACAGTTGCTGCTCATGATTTCCATTGGCCAGTCTTGTTCCCAATGTCATGACATCTTACTCTCTAGAAATTTCTATTGAAAACAGAAATTTTGTTATTTTTCTCTCTTCCAGATAATTTAAAAGCAATAAACAAAAATAGTCCTAACACAGATCTTTTTTTACTGTGTCATCTCCCCCTAGTTTTTAATCCCTAAGCAAATTCCCTGTTGTGTAGTACAGACTGCAAGGAAGACCCATGATCCTACTTCCTGGTATTAATGCCCTTGTGCAATCCCCCTTTCTTGAGTGTGAGTGGGACCTGTGACTTGCTTCTAATCAGAAAAACAAAGCAAAGATGATGGGATTGGTCACATGTGATTACTTACTAAGACTGTACACCATGGGTCTTGCCGAGAGACCTCTTTATAACTGGCTTTGAAGAAGGAAGCCGCTGTGTTATGAGCTTCCCTAAAGATAGGATCATGTACCAAGGAACTGAGTACAGCCTCCAGCCAACAGCTAGCAAGAAACTGAGGATCTCAGTTAGCAAGCAAGCAGATCCTTCCCAGTTGAGTCTCAGATAAAAATCCAGCTCTGGTAAACATTGTGATTGTGGTCTTGCAGAGGACCCCACTAAGCTGCACTACAGCACCTAACTCACAAAAACTGAGATAATAAATGTGTGTTGTTTTAAGTCCCTAAGTTATAGAATATTTTTAGGCAGGAATAGATAACAAATACAACTATCCTGCTTGACTAAAATGTTTTACTGACACATTCTTTTCCCATTCATTGATTGGTTTCTTCAGCATGGAATTTGGTCAAAGCTTTTTGGGAAAACGGATATTATAGCTTCCTCTTCCTACATGTAATTATCTGCCAAAATGTCTAATTAAATATGACTTTTTAAGAATCTGCATAATTGTTTCTTCTGCCCCCAGAGATCAAATATATGTACGTATTGAGTAATTCCTTTTGTAATTGATTTACAAGTTTCTGTCTTAAGGAAGTAGAGCTGTAGCTACTTATTCCTTGATAAAGTTTCTCTCATGAATGGGACAACTTCTGTTCTAGCACGGTGTCACTTGTTAAGAATGTGTACTCTAAAGATATTTCTCTGGAAAAATGGCGTGTGAATGTTTGGTTCCATACCATGTATATTATATCTGCAGTGTGTCTGAATTGGAATGTACCTGATCCTAAAAATAGCCATATGTGTAGGGTAAGCTCTAGGTTAGTGCCATCCAGTAGAAATATAATGGGTACCATGTATTTACTTTTCAGTTTTCTAGAAACTACATTTAAAAAGTAAAAGAAGCAGATGTAATTGATTTTAATAATATATTTTACTCAAAAATCATGATATCCAAAATAGTATAATTTAACATGCAATTAATATAATAAAATGAATAATGTATTTTCCATTAAAAAAACTCACTTTTCAAAATCTCACATATTTTTTATGCTCACAGCAAATCTCAGTTTAGATTAGCCATGTTTCACATGCTCAGTATGTGCCTGTTGGCTAGTGTGTTGGACAGTACAGCTTTAGATAGTTACATGAGCATGCTAAATTATAGACATAAAATAATCCACATAAAATTCAGCTTGATATGGCCAAATCCTTCTGGATTAAAAAAGCATATTATTATACATGTAATATAATACGATCTAAGATGTGGATCAAAGCAGGGAGCCATGGTACGTACTATGATTTAATAGACATACAATCCTTGACATGGACAGATTTTACATTTGTAGTACTACCTGCCCCAAAGAGTGATTCTCGTATATTTGATGTGGCGTGAATTTGAATCACCCTGACTGCAGGAGCAGCCCCTTGGCTGGTGTGTCAATCTGTCTGACCTCCCTGTGTCTGTATTTCCCAACTTATCTCATAAACATTAATGTTCACTAAAATCCTGAAGGAGTCACTTAATTTTTATCATTTATATTTGTGGCATTTTATGAGAGAACTTACGTGCTTAGTGGACTATACAGACTAAGACTGCCTCTTTCCCCAATGTCAGATTTTGATAGAGCTATGAGGGGCTTGTAAGACTAGACTGTGTTTTTCTGTCTGATTCCATTTAAGCAAAATCTCCATGAAATGTTATATTCCATTTATTGAAAGTTTTTATCATAGTGCATTGCAATTTTTCTTTCTTTTCCAGATACTAGTATGCTATCTTAATGTTATTTGTTAATATTGTTTAGTGAGCCGAAGAGAAAATTCTTTCTCTTAGTTTAATAAATTATTTCTCCCCCAAACTTTCTCTTTTAAAGTTCTGTGAAGGTAAAATGAAGAACCTTTACCTGAAGACATTTCAGTACTGTTCCATCAGATACAACTGATTCTTAGTCATAAACAGCTAGAATATTTCTCAAGGATTATCTGATTTATGGCTCCACCTCTTTCTCCTTGATGTAGAAGAGCCATATGATGACTATCTCTTAACTAGTAAGTATGGGGATGCTTATTATATTTTAAGTATGTTTTACATATTTCATATTTTTTTTAAAATTTTGTGTATTGATTTTGAGAGAGAGAGAGAAAGAAATATTGACCTGTTGTTCCACCCATTTATGTATTCATTGTTGATTCTTGTAGGTGCCCTGACCAGGGATTGAACCTGCAGTCTTGGTGTATCAGGACAATACTCCAACCAACTTTAGTTACCTGTCAAGGAACTAAAGTTTCATAATTTTCATGAAAATTTTTTAAAAATTGGGAAAAGGCGCCCTGGCGGGGTGGCTCAGTTGATTGGAGCGTCACCCTGTGCATCTTTCTCTCTTTGTCTCTGTTTCTCTCTCTCTCTCTCTTCCTTTCTCTCTCAAATCAATAAACGTATCCTCATGTGAGGATTAAAAAATATTGAGAAAAGATCATACAACTTGTTCTTTGATCTCTTTCCATTAATACAAGGTTCCTCAACCCTTGGCATTACTAACTTTTGGGGCCACTTAATTCTTTTGTTGAGAGCTGTCATGGACATTGTAGGGTCCCTGACCTCTACCCACTAGATGCCATATCTCATGTTCTGTCATTTCTATTCAAAGAGTTATTACTTATTTTGGGTCCTCATCACCTCTCACCTGGACTCTACATCAGTCCCTGAATTGGCCCATGAATCTAGAATACTAATTTGTTAATACACCCTCCATATTATCATAAAAAGAGTAACTCCTATCATTTACTTAGCCTCTACTGTGTGTTATGCAAATGTTGAGTGCTTTCATTTGTCTGTTAACTCTTTTCTGACATGAGGAAATCAAGAAACAAAGAAGTTAAATGTCGCTGCTAATGAGTAGTAGACAAGATTCAAACTTAGGTCTGCTCAACGTCAAAGCCTGTGATCTTTATGTTACCACGCTGCCTAAACATGACATCTTCCTAAAACATGAGTGAAACTTGTTCTTTTCTTATCACACACTTTCAGTGGCTTCCCAGTGCATTCCTCAGGCAAATGATTTGTCCATTCTTTTCTTCACCCGGCTCCCGTTAGCACTTTCATGCTCACCGTGTTCTTATCTCACTGAGTGGTTACCATTTTTCCAAATTTGCCATGGTTATTCATGTTTCTATGCCTTTGCCATCCTGTTCCCTCAACTTGAAGTACACTTTTTATTGTTTTTTTCCCCCCTCTAAAATGCTAATCCTCTTGTCAAAACCTAGCTCAAAAATGTTTTTTTTTTTTTTCAGAGAAAGCTTTCTTGATGTGCCAAAGATAAATTATTTCTTTTTCTTTACTCTTACAGCACCGTGCTTGTTACAGATAGTATTTACATCATTCTGTTTTATTGAGTACTTTTCTACATATCTGTAGAAATATCTGGGAAGCAGGGATCACTCCTTATTTTTACTTTGCCCTACTTAAAAAAGTTGAGGCAATTGGAAGCTTCCTCTATTTAGCTCTGTATTTTCTAGAACACATCACATAGGGGTTTGTAGAAAACATATACATACACATTACTACTCAATAAAAATTGACTGAATAGATAGATGAATGGATAAATACATGACAAAATATTTATGGTGTATTTTTTCCTAACTATGTGCATTGTAGAAAGTTTGGAAAAAAGTAATTCATATTCCTACCACAGAGATTTTGGATACTATCCCTCTAGTTAGCTGATATTGAGAAATGGCTTAGAAAATTACCAATAGGTGTTATTTGGTATAGTGTGGACCTAAAGGGCAAAAGGCCACAGTTGCACATATCCCTGTCCTCTCAGGGAAGTGGACTTGTATCAGGTAAGGCTGGAGACATCAAGGACTATATAGGTATTTTTTTGTCTGGGTATAAATTCAAAAGCTACAAAAGGGTACGGAGTGAAAAGTAAACCTCCCTCCACTCTTGTCTTTCAGCCACCCAGTTCCCCTTCCCAGAGACAACCATGGTTATCAATTGATTTACAGATTTAAGAAGATGACTATCCCAAATAATGTGTATTTAAAAATTAGTTTTTATACATTACTCTTATACCTTAGACAAAAGCTGCTATTAAAAATCTAATATCTAAACAATAACATTCATTTAGCTAGCATTACCAGTTAATTGATTTTGTGAACTAGCAATTCTTTCAAAACAGAGGTGGATGAATAGTTTTGAGTTGCAGTACACATGCTGTATTTGTCCATTGCGGTGTTTTTTGCTGCTTTGTGGCTTATAGTAAGGCTTCTGGAGGGAAAAAAAAAATCACCTAACTATGGAATTTGACACCTTCAAAATTATCCCCAAATCATTCCTTTGTTTTCCAAATCAGCTCCCTCTCATATGTGGCCATTTTATTTTATTTTTTATAAAGTGTAGCCAGCATATAATATTATATAGTTTCAGGTGTTCAATATAGTAATTTGACATTTTTATATTTTATGATGTGATCACCATACTGGGTCTAGTAGCCATCTGTCACCATGCAAAGTTATCACAATATTGTCCATATTTCCCTCCCCTTTTTCATCCATCCCCACACCCCCTCCTTTCTGACAGCCATGATGTGGTTGGGCCCTTCTCCTGGCTGTGTGGTCAATGACGGCACAACCACACTCAGTTCCTCAGCCTTCCCAGACATCCTGTAAACTAACTAATACCCTGTAATAAATCCCTTTCTGCTTACACTAGTGAAAGTATACTCTTATTATCTCTAATTAGTACTCTACTATGTTTCTAAGTTAGTCAATTGCAAGGGGAATAGGAGTCCCCAGTTTCAGGGAGGGGGGATGTTTGAGAATCAGACACAATAACTCTTAACCTACCAGTCAGTCCTTAACCACTGAAACCTGGCATTTACCTCCTCTGCTACTGCTGTTGTTCAGGCCACCAAGAGTTCCCCAGTGTGACTTCTTGGCAGCATTTAACCCTGACGCCAACCTAGCACTTTTCAAAAACTCTTTCTTCTTTTAGCATCTGTGTACAAAAATCTTCTGATTTCCTTCTTTTTCCTCTGTTCCTTCTCAGTATCCATCGAGGGACCTTCTTTCTCTGCTGCTGATCATTTAAAGATGAATATTACTCAGTGTTTTATACCAAATCTGCTTCTCTTTTTACTCCACATATTATTCAGAAATAACTCTAGATTTTTCTACTCCCGTGGCTTTCATTCAGTTTTGTATGATTCTGACCTCCAAGAAGTTTATTTCTTCAGGACAGTTACCTCTCCTAAACACCAATTGCATTCTGAATATCTCTAATGCGGTGGCTCATAAGCACTTTAAACAGGATGACGAAATGGAACTCATTAGCTTTCTGTTCTCACCTCATCAACATCCCTCAAACTAGCCAACTACTTCTTCATTTTATTCCCCATCCTGGTAAATGACATCACTGTACAGGATTGCTCAAACCAGAAACAGCGTGTCAACCTTCACTCTCCTTTGTCTAGCTGGTCAGTCTTTTAAGTCCCGCCATTTATTCTTCCCAAATGTCTCTCAGTTCATCTCTACTGCCTCAGTTCTAGCTATCATCATCTCCAGACTATTGACTGCCACAGCCTCCTAACCAGTCTCTTCTTCCAATCTTTCCTCCTTCTAGTTCATTCTTTACATCGAAGATAGACTAATACATTCAGAACATATGCCAAATGATGTCTTTTCCCTGCCCGTAAAATAACATCTTATCCCCCTTCACCAGGCTTGCGGTGTCTCCCATGGCTGGCTTCTGTAGCGTCATTTATTGCACTCCTTGTTTCCTCTCCAGCACACTGCATGTCCAGCCATACTGAAGCTTGAGAATAGGACATATTCTCAGGTTCTAGAATACACCCTACGTTCTTTGACCTGTGGAACAGCGTCCTATTCCTGCTCTAAAGGAACTGATTTTAACGTAGGTATTATTTTCTTCAGCGAGTCTTTCCCCTTGTGGGTTGTTGCCTCTGCTTTGTCTCCAATAGCAGGAAAGTACCTTCTGCTTCTTCACAATACATTTGTGATGTGCAGTTGTAACTCCTGATTTACTTTCCTATCTTGCCCCAATACACCTTACTCTGTGGAAGCAAGTGCTAATGTCTATTTTGTTCATTGTTAATGGCCCTATCACCTAGCAGAGTACTGGCACTTAAATATTTGTGAAGTGAATGAACAGTTGACATAATTGATATGTTGGTATGTGATAAGGGAGTAATAAATAATTAATTGTTCACTTATTACTGCATAGTGACCATAATTGTCAACAGAGTCACCTAAGTCTAAAACACGGTCGCTTAGGCCTCTTTGCCTACATCAGTGATGCAAGCAAAGCATTTCTCAATACCATTGCCAACTTAGAAAGTGTTTTGTTGTAGTACGACTTAAATAAAATATAAAAATCTTAAATCTAAAGCTTGATTGATGTTTTTACACATGCATTCACCTGGGTAACCACTACTCAGAACAATATGTAGAACACCTCTAGCACCCCGGAAGGCGCCCGCACTGCCCCCTCCCAAACGGTAGCCTTTGATCATCACAGGCTTGTTTGCCTGATTTTGAACTCCCCATAAGGAAGTGGCTTCTTCTGCTCACCATCATGTTGGTGAGTTTTGTTCTTTTTCATTGTTATATTCATTTCATTGTATTACTCTGTTGTTCTTTACCCATTTTACTGTTAAAAGACATTTGGGTTGTATCAAGCTTGGGCTGTTATGAATAAAGCTATTATAAATATCCTTATATGTATATTTTGGTGGACCTAAGCCTTAATTTATATAGGGGGTATAGACAGGAGGGAGTTTGTTTAATCATAGGATATGCTGAAGTGTAGCTTAACAGGATATATTACCAAATGTTTTATCAAAGTCATTATACCAGTTCATACTTTCTGCAATAAATGTATGAGAGTTACAGTTGTTCCACCTCCTTGATATTACTTCATAGTATCTTTTACAAATTTATAAAAATTTCACCATCATCTGAAATGAAAATTGAAATTACTGTGATAGTGTAAAAGCTTTCAAAATAGGCTTCTTAACATGGGTTAGTTTTCAGGCATAAAATAATGAAAATGGCTAATATTTATGTGGTATGCGCTGCTTGCCAGGTATATTCTCGGCCCTGTAAGTAGGCTGCCTCACTCAATCATCATGACAGCTTCGTGAAGGAGATACTGTTATCCCCATTTTAAGGATGAGAAATTTGTGGCATAAAAGACATAGTAAATCATAGACTTTTAAAGAACTGGATGAAAAACCTGTATAGATTAATTAATGTAACCCCTCACTGTACTGAACAAAGAAGCTAGCCCAGAAAGCAGACTACCTCTTATGAAAGGAAGGTCACCCGTTTTGTTAGAGGTAAAATCTAGATTGGCATCAAGACTTCCTAACTTCTCTTCAGCACTACACAAACTAGATAAAGTTAACAGTAATCAAAACACACGTTTTGAAAAAATACTTCATTCTCTTCAGCATTTACTTGCTATGAATTTGGTTTGTGGAATAGTTTTACCAAGTTCTAAAACAATTTTTAAAACTGTCAAACAAGGGCATGTAAGAAAAGGATTCATGTTTTGAGGGGCCAAAATTTCATTTAATTGTGAGAGGGAGATCATCAAGAAAAAGAATATAAAAATATTTTACTTCTGCAAATGGTACAAAAACATGGGAACATATTTTGAGTCCTGAAAGTGGCCAGCCTCCCATTATGCAGATTCCCTCAAGTGTCCCTACCTCCTGGTAGTCACGTCTTTGTGTAAGTCTTTTCCCATATTGTATTGAGATTGTTCCGCAAGACCAGTAGAATATGGTAGGAGTGGTGTCACTTCAGAGACTAGGTTATAAAAGACATTATGACTTTTATCTTCCTCCCTCTTGGGTCATTCACTCTGGGGAACCCAGCTGCTATGTTGGAAAACTCTCAGACAGCCCACTGGGGGAGCCCATGTGGTGAGAAACTGAAGTCTCCAGCCCACAGCCATACGAGTGAGTCATTTTGGAAGGGGATCCTCCAGCTCTGGTCAAGTCTTTGCATAATTGCAACCTTAGCTACAATGCTGTGAGATAGTCTGACCAGAACCACCAGAGAAGCTCTTCCCAGATCCCAGACTCAGAAATTGGGATAATAAAGTTATTGTTTTAAGCTGATAAATTTTGGAGTAAATTGTTATATAGAAATTGGTAACTAATACTGGTCCCTCATAGAACCTTGGCAGAGGCCTAGAAGTTTGAGTTTTCATAAGCTTTATGATAAATTGGACTCTGCCTATGTTAATGGCTAAGCTAGAATTTTGTGGCAGAGAGAGCTAGTTTTCACAAAAATTTGTTTTTTCTTTCTTCCACAGAGGCTGTGACTGCATTATGCCTGTCCAGCTATGAGCCACAATGCCAACCCTTCCGCAACCAAATGTTTTATGTGACTAAACTCTAGTTAATGGGATTCAGCAGAAGGAATATGTGCCCTTCTGGACGGTGCTTTCAAGAGGATGGGTGTGGTACTCCTTTCTTCCTTCTCATCGGCCAGGATGGGGACGAGCAGAGTGACTCTATGAGCCAAATGTTGAAGACGACAGGAACTCTTGCCTGGCTGAGTCTCTGAATGACTGCAACGCAGCAGAGCCTCTGCCCCTCCAGGCTGGGCCACCCCTCGGAACCATTGTGTTAGAGAGAACTATGTTTCTGTTGTGTTTGAGGCATTACCTCTTCAGGCTCTGTGTTAAAACAAGCAAGCCTACCCTAACTATTGTAATTAGTTATGTCCCTCAAAATTTAGATGCCTAATTATTTGTTTGTTATTATATTAATTTTTTATCCTGTAAAATTTCAAATATATAAAAGTACAGGTGATTGTATAATGAAGCCTTATGAATACATCACTAAATTTCAACATTTATGTTATAAAGCCACTCCTATCTTTATGTGTTAGTGCCATTTCCTACACATGTGTGGCCATTCTTATGTCATTGGTACCCTCTTTCCCCTCTGCTCCCTCCTGGATAATTTTAAAGCAAAGCTCAGAATCCCAGACACCATATCCTTTCATTGCGTGCATTAAAAATGTTATGTAAGAAACCTCCTCCACTTTCCCTGGAACTCAGTGCTTTTTATGGAACTGTGTCTATGAAAAAGGCCAGTTCCCACCACTTGACAACACATGATGAAGACAGCGTGAGAGGCAGAAACTCTCCCCAGAATGTCCCTGAATGCACCTTCACCGCATTCAAGCTGGGAGTTCTGAGCTTATGAAGGGACCTGGCTGTGCCAGGCAGGCTGAGGGTATAGGGTGACCAGCATCAGGTCCAGAACTGCCACCAGACGACTTGGGTTCTAAATGTCTAAACCTCTCTCAGTCACTTACTAGTTGTGTGCCCTTCAGCCATTTACTTATTATTTCAGATCATCATGTTTTCTCATTTATAAGATAGAAATAATACCTGTTCTATCACTGGCTTGATATGATAAAGTCAGCTGAGGTTTTTTAAAAGTATCAACTTTCTGTGATAATCAGTTTGTAACATGGAAGTAAATATAACCTAAGTTTTTAATTCTTTAGTGTTTTCCTCTACAGTAACATTTATAGTCATTTAAGCTGTCGGACTCTATTAAAATCAGTGTTATAGGTGGGAGTAATTATTTTTTCTAAGTTTTAGTTGTGAGTCAGCAGTGCCACCGTCCATGAGAGGGAGGATGGCGCTGCAGTTCCTGTGGTGAGCACTGGACAGCGCTGGGGCGGAGCTCCTGCATGCAAAAGAGCAAATAGAATCTTAACTGAGTTTTTCCCTCAGTAGCTCAGCTCTGTACTCTCACCAATATCCAGATTGTGACCCGGACAGTCCTGAGTCATCTGGGATGTGGCGATTCCCAGGCCATAATGTCTTCCCTCATACATCAGAATGTCTCTGTACCGAGCTCAATTCCAACTGGGTCACGGTGCTGAGTGAAGTAGGTGTTGACGGGACAAGGCCAGGCAGTGTGTTTGGCTCTGGACTCCGACCTTGTGGTTCCTGCTTGGCAGCCTCTGACCTCTCACTTGGGCGTCCTTAGCCTTTACCCCAATCTCTGCCCTGCCTCTTACTCTCTTTTACCTCTCAATTTTCTCTCTTCATTCACAATCTTTCAGTAACACCATTGTAGAACCTTTTTAAAAAAGGAAGTATACAATAACTCATATGAAAAATAAGAATTAGATATTTTTTCCCTCTCCTGCTGAATCTGTGTGCAATGTTTTTCCTTTCTGGTTTCTGGATTTTAATTACATTATAAGTGCCTGCTAAGTTAGAACCTTTTCATTCTTTTAACATTTAATTTTAGAATAGTTTTAGATATCCAAGAAAGTTGCAAAAAGAATGCTGAGAGTTCCTGTCTGCCCTTCACCTCGTTTCCCCTACTCTTAGCATCTCACGTTACCAGGCTACATTTATCACAGCTAAGAAACCAACTCTGGTGCACTGCTGTTAACTAAACTAACTCTAGACTTTATTTGGATTTCACTAGTTTTTCTACTACCGTCCTTTTTCTGTTCCAGGATCCCATCCAGAATACCGTGTTACATTTAGTCAGCATGTGTTCTTGGCCCTTCTCTGATCTGTGACAATTTTTTAGTCTTTTCTTATTTTTCATGATTTTTGACTCTTTTGAGGAGTATTAGTTTTCATGACAGTTTTGAGAAGTACTAGTCATGTATTTTGTACCATGCGTCTCAATTTGATTTTTTTTTCTGGTTAGACTGGGGTTATGGGTCTTGGGGAGGGTGGCCAAAGAAGGGAATTATCATTCTCATCACCTTGCGTCAAGGGTATCTGCTAGCAATATGGCATCACTGGTTATGTTAGCCTTGATCACCTCGTTTAGGTAGTGTTTGCCAGCTTTCTTCACTATAAAGTAAGTTTCCCCCTTTTCGCACATTCTGTTCTTTAGAAGCAAATGACTAAACAGCCCACAACCATGGAGGAAAGAGGGGTTAAGCTCCATCTCCTGTAGAGGGACTATCTATAAAAATTATTTGGATATCTAATAGAAGATTTGTTTTTTCACCCTTGGTGAGTTTTTCAATCATTTATATCATTATGGACTTCTGGACATTTATAGGTGATGAGATTAATACAGGAACTTTTGTAAATGTATAAGCTTGGGCTCCAAGCGTAGCATTTCTGATGTGGTTGGTTTGAAATGGGGCTGAAGCATGTGTTCTCTTTTTAACTTTCTTTAAATTCTACCCTCCTGCCCAAGTTGAGGACCTCTACTTTTTTTTCTTTAACTTCAAGTTCATAGGACAGATTTTATCATACTCAGTTCACAGCATGTGATCATCATTGGTCTATGCAGTGTCCTCCTCTAATTTTGTTAATTCCATTTTGTCATCATACTCCACACCCTTTTTCACTCTCCCTAAAGAGCACCATTCTAATGTATTGAATGAGTATCTTCTCTTTGTATGTGCTTTTATAATGTGTTTTGTTGTTTTCTGTACATGTATGTCTCAATTATAAAAACAGCACTTTGTAACATAGACTATTTTTTTTTCATTTTTAAAACATGAAGAAACTTTTTTTTTAGAGCAGTTTTAGGTTTACAGAAAAATTGAGTGGAAAATACAGAAAGATCCTATATACACCTCTTCTCCCCACCCTGTTTCCCCCTATTATTATTGTCCTGCATTAGCGATTAACTTTTGAACTTTCGCTGTCTTAGAAATGAAGAATAGGACAGTGCTGTGTGATAATGGAACCTTTTGACCCCCAATAAATAACAGTGCTTTCCTATGAATGGAAATAAAAGGGATGTCTTAGGATGTGGACATAGACACCAGGGGACTCCAAACTCTTTTTACAAATAGAGCTAGATCATTTAAAATTTTCTTCTGATTTTAAAACTCTTGACTTGTCTTTGGGCAGAAAAAAGGATAGAGGTCATTACAAATACCATAGCAAGATTTCAAGTTTTGTGATCTCACACTTGAGAGAACTAGTTTCAAAGTAAGCTCTCAATTCATTTTTTAAAAAAATTAAACTGAAAAAGAAACCTGCATCCAAGAGGCAGGGTCAGCAACTGAAGGAGATGGCTGGAGTTTTCCCGATGGTGACTGTCGTGGGAAGATGGCACAGGTCCCTGGGATAGCCACAGGAAGAAGATACTTCTGTCCCTGCTGGTGAGGCTGTGGGGAAACAAGCATCCTCCCCATTGCTAGGGAATGGCGCTAAACTCTCCGAGAGGCAATGTGGCCCGTATCTGTCACCTTTTCATAGGCATCTGCCTTCAGTTCCAGGGAAATTATATTCAGTTTGACCTCAGTCTGGAAGTTATTTCTTCCCTCCAAGGAACTCAACTGGTTATAAATCTTACTGAAAACCTCAATATGGGCAAAGCACAGAGATGTTGATTGGAGACACACACAAAGATGTGAATGTGGAAAAGGCGCTGCTCCCTCCCAAGCAGTAAAAAGCTGGTGGCAGGTTCAACACAGTGTATTTAAGGAAAGCTCACCCCTCCTGGCCATTGCTGGGAGAGATGTCTTAGTAAAGTCCTAACTTCGAGCAATTACAATAGCAGATTTCAAGGATTCTTTTAACTGATTTGTGAAGCAGCAGTTGTTCCCCAGCAAATGTGGTAAGAATGGAGTGTGTTATATGAAGGAGGACCAGTGAAGCCTTGGTGATATAAATAGTGACGTTCAGTTGAAAGCAAACATTTCCTGAGAGTTGCCCACTTTAAATGTCCACTTTAGTGGAGACATTGAAAGATGACACCAGAATGCCTTTGTGCCATATTTGTTCTGCAGTATGAGGGCTGGGTATAATTAGTAAACTGCAGACACTTTCTTTAACGCTGTAACTCTGTTGCAATTAGTCTTTGTATCATTTTCATAAAGCCCCAAGTTAAAGAACCCCTCCAGTATTGTTATAGATAACGATCAGGGCTGGGTTGATCCAAATGATAGTTGCAGTCAGTTGCCTGCATGAGTGACCAGGTGACCTGGCAGTGTGGTACCAGAGTGATTTCTCTGGTGTGTGGCCTGTTACAGTGGCACTGAGCAGGAAGTAATAATGTTCATCATGGAGACTTTGGCCCCACCAGAAAGAAGCACTTTTTGTTTAGTCTGTTCTGTTCCAAAAGACAAGGAAGTATGTAATGTGTTACAGAAACAGTTCCAAATAGTGAGCAGTTTTTAAGTTTTTCTGGTCTAAAGCAATGGTTCTCTAACACTATTACTGTGTATCAATCACCTAGAGTGCAATTTAAAAAGCAGGTTGCTGGGACCATCCCTGAGATTCTGATTCAGTAGATCTGGAACAGAGCCCAAGAATTTGCATGGTAAGCTTCAGTTATCTGGGACATCCAAATACCTTTCTCATTCCTCATTATACTGAACTTAAAACTTCAGATGTTATTGCCAAGTGACGTGGAAGGATGCTCATTACAACTGGCCCTACTTCCTTTCTTGTACCAAGGGCTTCTGGGATCAATCTGCTCTACTTCCTTTATCCTCTACCAACACCCACCTCCAAATCAGAATCTAAAATGAGGATTTCACTCCTCTCTCTCTTCTCTTTCCCGTTGTTCCTGGGGCTAATACATATAAAAGGACAGTGAGTAATACGTGGCAGTACATAATTGAGCAATTGTATTTTTGGAGTTCAAAGAAAGAGGCAATCAAGAAAGACCCATGGTGAAGGGATTAAGGAAAGAAGAAGAAGAAAAAACCCCTCATAGACGCAGACCACAGTATGGTATTTACCAAAGGGAAAAAGGGGTGGGAGAGGTAGAAAAGGGTAAAGG